GAAACAGACTGTTGTGGTTTTTTGAGGTAAAACGAAAAACTATATTACGCTCTATCTATATGGTATTGAGCACTGTTTGTGTTTCGTAAACCAAAATCTTAAACTATATATATATATATATATATATATATATATATATATATATATATATATATATATATATATATATATATATATATATATATATATATATATATATATATATATGTATTTATATATATATATATATATATATATATATATATATGCAGTCTTTGTACACATGAGAAATTCATCATAATCTACCACCCTGAACTTTGTTCTTTAAATTCAAGAAGTGAACTTTTGTCGAAATGCAGACATAGAAACAAATTTCTCTTAAGCAATATACATTACTTAATATAATCTGTATATATATGTAATCTATACGTAATTTAATACTTGAACATTCCGTTTACGTCAAACATGTATATAGTATATATAACCTTGGCAACAACATAGCGCGACATTTAAATTCACCTGAGGAGTGTGGCAAGCATTGCTTGTCATACGAAACAAGTTTGTAGTGAATAAATCTTATGAAGTAAACCAGGTTTATTTTATCTTTATCTATATGTATATATATATATATATATATATATATATATATATATATATATATATATATATATATATATATATATATATATATATATATATATATATATATATATATATATATATATGCTATACACTCAATACATGACTCGCTTACTTACCCCTCCTAGTCTAAACTTCACATGAGTTCCAGACCCTGGATCCAGTAATTCAGCCTAAAATTGACATTTAAAAATTTTCACAAAGGAACAGAACAAATTGTCAAGCCAGCGTAGGCAGTGACAATAACAACAGAAAGCTGGGGATTGGATTCTATTACGCGAAAAATACAAGTAACATTTCGACGTCTTAGAAAAAACTGAGGAATCTAAATTGGAAACCCCAATAAAACAGACTCACCTCTCTAGGATTAATACATCGCAGTAACAGTGCTGGATCACCACGGAATTTAAAACTGATCAAATCTCTGTAGTAACGATAAACTTGCATATCCTAAAAAAAGAATAAGCAAAGAAGAGATAAGCATATAGGTTATCATTCGATTTCAGAGCTAGGAATTCTTCAAGGATTCAGGGGTAAATGGTTTTGAGCTTGGAATTCGTCAGGGATAAAGAGATTTGAGATTGAAATTTTCAAAGCTTGGAATTCTTCAGGGGTAAAGGGTTTTGAGCTTCGAATTCTTCAGGGGTAAAGGGTTTTGAGCTTGGAATTCTTCAAGGGTATAACTATGAAAAACATGTACAGTATCCTCAACCGAGGGTATATAAATATTAAATGGATAGCCCAAATAGTTATATCAAGTGAGATGCCAAAAATAGTTTATGGTTGATCCTTACAACGTGTTTTCTCCAAGCTTTCTGGATAATGTTCGCAGCTGCCAGCCTGGTCATCGTCCTAGGACGTTGAGTTGCACGACCATTGTACGTCGAATAACTGTCGGCCATCGTCGGAGGACGTTCGGAAGGTACTCGGCTGTTTCGTCGTTGCTCGCAAACCTGATGCCACCATGATTGAATAATCAAGGCACAAAAGTCTTCAAATCTAATAAAGAATATGTACTATTTAAAAAACTCATTACTAATTCATGAGGAAAATAGAAAAGAAATCACTGCCGTGTCGGTGGCTTTATATGTGATAGAAAATCATGTTTATTTACACAAACTTTAGCTTTGATTTTCTCGGCTTAGACAACGTTTAGTGTCAAAATTACTTCGCCAATGAACTCATCAGATGGTCGTTCTTAACCAGACTGGAATGTAAGGTGTTTACGCCGGACTTGTCCGGTATACAAACACAAACTTTGGCGTACATAATGGCGTACATTTGTTTACATAGACTAGTAATTGTTCGAATTCAACAAATATGGACCAAATAGGTTTATACTCAAAAGGTGTATTTGGAACTTTTGCGCATTTACATTTCCAAAATTGGTGTGCAGTTACATGTGCCTGAATCGATGTAAGGCGTGCAAAAAGTTAACTTTCCAGACTTGGTTTTTAAGCCATTTAAAACATTCGCAGTCCGTTCTTTATCAGATATAATGCACTCAAGCTGTTAAAGATTTTAAAATTTTTAAGAAAAAGCAAGATATCAAGAATGAAGCTCGAGAAATTTCCAAAATCAGCATTAAAGTAACAAACATAATAATTAGAGCATAAACACAACAATCATAACATAAAAAATTGTATCACGTGGCAGTGCTACGACGTAAAAATAGGTTAATCACATAATTATAAAAATAGGCTAATTTTTGGAATTATCAAAAACAGTAGTTCAACGTTCAAACATCAATAGCGCAGTCAATAATGCATGCAAATTCAAGTGCTATTTTTTTAAATCAAAGCTAGTCCTTTCTGAATGCAATGATCTTTATTTAATTGCGATAGTTTTTATAACCATGTTTTTTTGGGACACCAGGTATTGTACCACAGTGAAAATAAATTAAAACTCTCTGTTATTCTAAAAGTTATAACGTCTATCAAACTTACGAAATTGATGCATGTTGCTCTCTAAACTTGCAAAAATCTTCCTTCAACTTCACACGAGAACTTGACATTCGAATTCCGGGTGGCTATAATTTAAAAAGGTTTTGTCAGAACATGAACTTCATTTACTGTGGTTTTCAAAGCACAAACCCAAAGCGTTGAACCTTATACGTGCCTTGCAGGGGTGGAAAAATACTTTCTGGGACCGCAAAAGAACATTAGAAATTTTCTGTAAATAATCAAGTGAATCAACACTTGGGCACTGTAACTGTGTGACACTAACAAGTCAAACTGGATGTCATGCTGTATTTTACAGGAAAAAATATTTCACTGAGAATCTTAAAATGTAACATCAAACTAAGGGACCGATCATAAAGTAACTGCTAGGGTGGGCTGGAGTGATTTGGGATGGGCCATGGAAAATCTTTGGGCAGTTTCGATGGGCCGCAAATTTTTTGTATGTCCACGGTTGGGCCACCAAACAAAAACCCATGCATGTCTACTTCGAAAAATAAAGATATTAATAATAAAAGTAAACAAAACTATATCCAAATTATCAAATGCAAATGATGCTATTGAAGCCAGTACTCTGTTTATACAACAAGAAGTGGTCGAATCATAGCAAATACAACCAACTGGAGAGCAGCTCAGTATCAATGTGTTGGTCAAACTTGGTGGAATTATGTATGTCAATACAGTGCCGTGTATATTTACAATGTTCATACCTGCAAGTTTTTTTTATTATAAAAGTATATTTTTCCAATTTAGATTGGGTGGGTCATGAAAAATGTTTTGTATGATTAGATGGGCTTTGAAATTTTTATCTACATCTTAAGATGGGTCACCAAACTTATTGGCAAAATTTGTGATTTACCTCCAGCCCACCCTAGCAGTTACTTTATGACCAGCCCCTAAGGTAGATATAACATGCATCAAGGGTTGCTGCTAAGGTAAATACACATGCCAAAAAAGCTAGGGTACTATATATAGGGGACACTATATAAGGGGGATCGATGCTACCTCCTGAAAATCAGGTGTGCTAGATTTGCTAAAATGCATTTGCCATTTCAGGCCTTAAAATATCGGTCGGTCACGGACATTGTCCGACCCATTCGTGAAATTGTCCGACGTAGAGTGGAAACCACCGGACATTCTGTCCGACCTAAGTAAAACTGACTCAGAGGTTTATTGTTTGTCCGACCCGAGTGATTTGGTGTCCGACCGAACTGTAGCTTTGTCCAACGTAAATGAAAATGTTAAACGGAACATAAGTAGGGAGAGTACTATAATTGTATAAAAGGTGAATTGCAAATGTTGTTTTAACGTAGTCGAGCGCGGGGCGGCGAGCGAAATGGTGAAGTGGAGAACGGGCTTAAGTTGTTTAATACTGCTGTTCTGGAAAGCAAGTTAATTTTGTCTTGGGAATAAGTATGAAAGAAACAAATTATTTGATATCTTCACAACATTTACCGTTCAGATACATTGTGCTGATATTTATAATTGTGTCATTCAGACTTATTTCCTTATCCCATACCTGTGTTAAAAGCGGCTTTCTGATTGGTTTAGAGCAGGTGAGCTTGTCGTCGAGCTCACCTGCTTTTGCCGAACTCACCTGCTTTTCGCCCGAACTCACCCGCTAAACTGCTTACGTTGCAATAACAATAACAAATATGGCGGACAAGATTTAGCCGATAAACCTAAACTTTAAAGAACTTTTTTCGGTTAAGTTCGGGAAACTTCCAGCCACCCTCGGTGCGTCCAATCCCGGACTCACCTCCCTGCAAGTACGTTTGTTATAGAGTCAAAACTGAACTGAACGTCATCGGATATATGTCCGACCCAAACTCAATGTCATCGGACATTTTGTCAGACGGCCCTGTAAAAGATATTCCAAGGCCTGATTTGCCATACAACATTTGTTACATCATTCTATAGTGATTAGTCTATGCATTATCGCACTATCAATATACAACTACGGACGCTTTCCATTTAATAGCCTGACCGGTCAGACCCGAATTTTTGTCTCTCTAACAATGGAAAGATCTGGTTTGTTACGCAAATATCTAGCGAAAATGGACCTCATTTTAATTTTATCTGAATTTTCCTATCAGATAGCTCCGAAGCCCAAACTTCATTCTTGAAAATCCTGGCAGGTATAGAGCAGGTATAAAGATATACCTTTCCAGCTAAAACAAATTGTTTCGAGCCCTTTGCACACATAAGGACAACGTAAATGAATCTCAGAAACCTGCATGGTGTGTACCGCATTCCTTGTGAGTGTGGTCTAGTTTACATTGGTGAAACTGGTCGAAATCTCTCAGTACGTCTTAAAGAACATAAGACGAATTGCGAGAAAGCCGAGCAAGATAAATCTGCTGTGGCTAAACATACTTGGACTTACGATCATCGTATAAAATGGGACGAAGCAACCATTTTGGCGATTGATAGTCTCAGTTCTCTCCCAAAATGAGAAAGTCAATTGAAATCGAGAAGCACAATACTATAGATCAGGAGGAAAGCCACTAGATAGTACATGGCGTGCTCTCTTTAATGTGCAAAATTAATTTCTCTTGTCTTGGATGCGCGCGCGTTAATTAGAATCACTTCACTACGTTTGAAATGACGTGGTTGATGTGCCGTTTAATTAAATTTCAAATGACGCGAGCCAACACAAATAT